ATTGTACAGTGGCATTAAGTGCCGTAATGTGCACCTCTGCCTACCCCTTCGCGGATAAAAAGGCGTGATGTTATGTTATGTTATTTACAATTATACCTACGATTTATAAGATAATCTCAATTTATTAAAAAAGCTCATTATTAAATTTTCTGTTATTATAACATTAGATCCGTGGACAATGTAAAATAGTAGTTATTATAGAACTTCTTACATTACACAAAGGTATGATAAACCGTAGAACTATCAATGCACTTTGCATCAATAATAATAGAGGTAATCTACGACCCGCGGTCTTGGATTTTCATTGAAATTTTATATGAACTTCATGTAAATGTAAATAGTTTTTCTTTACAATCTTGTTTATTTTACAGTCTTCCAAGACATTGATGATGGTGGAACAAAGAGAATTTCAACAGGTAAGTACTAAACAGTTTTTCTTAAGAAAACTTAAAGAAATTATCATTTAATGATGTTCCAGTATTAAAATGATCTAGTAATCTGATGACTGGTGGACGTTGCTGATAAAGTTTCCAGAAGCCATCCATTAGGCACAATGACTGACATTCGATTAAGTTCCTTTGATACCGCGAACTTATCAACGTCAACTCATAATCAAGATTCATGTCAGGTTTTGAAATTAGCGCTAAACCACGCCCTGCTTTTTGTAGTTTGATTGATTTTCTCGTAACTTCCATAGTTGATGAGATTTCGTGAAAATGTTGAAGTCGTCAAACTAGAACAGATTGGAGATAATCCTTGTTTTGGCTTCACGTTACGAACTTTGTTTATAGAGTACGGTAATGATCTAGAAAAATTACTTTGTACATGATTAGAATTGAGGCATAAATACCCACTATTGATTTCTTTTCAAAGACTACGTCTTAATCTGAGACAGTGCAGTATTGTGATTTTCGGAATATTGCGTAGTATGTTAATCGTGATGGCCCAGAGGTTTAACACACCCGCTTTTCATGCATGAGGGTGGGGGTTAAAAACCTTCCAACAGCAAGTACCAATGTGACTTTTTCCGAGTAATATGTACTTTCTAGAATTATTTAAACACCACTGATAAACGGTAAAGGCAAACATCGCGAGGAAATCTAAGCATATAATTTCTAATCATAAGTTTGAAATTGCCAAATCACTTGGCAAGCTTGGCAATTAATGCTCTTAAATCTTGCCCATGTGAGAAGGTTAGCAGTGGCCACTTATAAAATTTTAATGTTGTTGATGTTAATCAGTGGCCAGGGTGCTTACTCTTGAATCCAATTCCGATCAATGGACATTGGTATCGTGAGATTTCGTACTCTTGAGTTGCAACACTAGCTCCTATTGCATCCATATTGCGTGAATATTTAATGAACTAAATAGTATTGATACAGGTGAAATAGGGGTTGTATAGTTTTGACATTGAATAATTATTAAGATTTTATTTGGTTGAAATTGTGATAGGTTTTAAGAGTAAGCACTCAGGTTACATTGTCAGTGGATGGCAACTAAGTCCTCTTACCAAGAACATTACAAACATTAACAAAAGAACATTATTAAAAAAAACATCTTACTGTTTCCATTTTCTACTCTTAGCTCGAAAAGCCACAATCCTGGTAACTGGTCTCTCCTGTGTACTCTTATACAACTACTACACCAGCTCCGTGGTCAGCTGGTTATTGAACGGTCCACCACCTTCCATCAACTCCTTGAAGGAACTGCTGGAGAGTCCACTGGAACTGATCTATGAAGATATTGGATATACCAGGTCTTGGTTGCAGGTAACTATTTAGTTTTAGAACCTTCTTCTTCTTTTTCTTCTTAATCGTACACTGCTAGCTAATGGAGTGTCGAGAGAACGAAAGAGTTGTGGTCATGGATCATAGCGTATGTTTAAATACTTACACGTTTGTAAAAACTATGTAATTTAGTTCTAGATAAAATAATATATCAATCTCCGAATTCCCAACAATCCTCATATTCCTAATCCCCAAAAGGCCGCTAACGTACTTGTGTTCGGCTCTGGTGTTCCGGGTGTCTATGGGTGACGCCGATTACTTATTATCAGGTGATCCATCTCCTTTTTTACCGGTTTATCCCATAGCATATATAATGTATTTCACCCATAGGGACAGACAGTCACTTTGACGTCACTTTTAGGCTTCAGATCTATTGCTAAATGCAATAACTTGACAGCATTCAAAATGACCTTTTTTATATTTTCTCTACTGCTAGACTCCTACGTACTACTTCAATGGAAAGAATGCTGCAATAGAAGACGAGCTGCGAAAGAAGAAAGTATTTAACAAGAAGAAGGATTCTCCCTTACTAGTACCTCTAGTGCAAGGGATCAAGATGGTGCAGAATGGAGGTGAGATAATAGGAGCATTTTGTTGTTCTCTAAAGGGGTCCAAAGATATTATAGACTTGTATCGCCAGTAACGGACGATATTAGGGTATAAACGTAATTTGTTGGTCAGTTAGATAATGAAAAGATATTAGACACATATTTTTTTATTTTGCCGTACCTATACCTTAGATAAAACGGAGTTAAGTTTAGGAGTGGCAGGTCGTTACGTTATGCAACCATATAAAATATAGTAAATCATTACACGATATTTCAAATCAAATATATCGTCGAAAGTATTTAATTTTGTAAGATAAGAAAAAAATCGTCTTATTTTTTAAAATAATTTAGGATACTACCCTATTAATTGTAATTGAGAAGATACAGTGATGTGACTTTCAAAAGAAAAGTCATGTAATTTTTTCCCGATTAGGAGTCATTTTATATAAAAAAGTGATAGGGTTCATTCTTGCAAAGCCATTAAACTGTCAAAAACCACAAGCGGTCACCGGTGACCGCAACCTATTGTTCTATAATTGTGTCTATAATGACGGTACTCGACGAGTTAAACAACGAAATAGCTTACAGTATACTAACTAACAGAAAGAGACCTTAATCAACATAACATAACATCACTATTAAAAGCCATAAACGCCACGCATCTTATCTGACGGATTGTAAACATTACCACTTATTGCCACTTGATGACAGACGGCAGATGTTGGACATGCTCCTTCTTTATGATATCCTGCGGGGTGGGATAGACAGCAGTGATCTCTTGTCATACGTTGAATTCTGCACGCACAGGTCTCGAACAAGACATACTCACTTGCTTAGTATACCCTCACATCGTACGAATTATGGGAAAAATGCTGTTATGACTCGACTACCTCGCATTTACACAGAGAAGTTTGAGAGTGTGTGTGAGAGTGATATTTAATTTGTCAAAGGTATCCTTTCGTAAGTCGCTTATACAAATACTCACTAGTGCGTGACTCTTATAACATTATTATTTTTCTTAATTATTGCTTTATAAAAAAAATTCCTTGATTGTTTAATTTTATTTTATATTGCTCACTCTCCTACTTTTACCTAACGCATGCTGAAAAACTCTGTTATTGGCTTAAGTTTCCATGCCTTGTCATTATTATAGATGTAGCATTTACTTAATAAGCTGTTGAGTTTTCTGTAATAAAAAATAAATAAATAAATAAATCACGCCTTTTTATCCCCGAAAGGCGAGGCAGAGGTGCACATTATGCCACTGTACCTACAATGTAGCACACATTATTTATGTTACGAGTCCCATGCAATTGGGGGTGAGCCTATTGCCATATACCAGGCGGGCACAATTCCAGACTCCGTGCTACTACTGAGAATTTTTAAAAAACCCAGTAATACTTAGCCCGACCCTGGAATCGAACCCGATACCGGCAGTCGCACTTGTGACCACTCGGCTAATGAGGCAGTCCAGATCTTAAATCAATAGTGAAATAAGTAATAATGAAGAAAAAAATGGTCATAGTTTATTACCAAAAAGTGTTAGTAAAAACAATATCGAGTGAGGTACTTACGTCGTGGGCCTCATAAGGGTAGCAGGATCGATGCTCACACAACTCAGTGCTGGGTACCGTTTTTATACACATGGTTCCGAAATTGGAGTTCCGTTATAAATTGCCGTAATTTACTACGACCGGGATCGTTTTTCTATGGTATTAGATTTGTACGAAGGTCCTGTATGGAAAAAGTTGGGGTATTTGCACCTGTGACTTCTGTAAGAATGTTTGGGGTGTTATGAAATGCCAGTTCATCAATTTTTTTTTTTTGTGAAACAGTTGCAAAAATTTATGGTCTGTTTTGTTTCACGAAATCAACAATGAGGTCAATGAGTTCAATATTTAATGGATATAAAGTTATACACATTTTATGTCTAAGTGTTTTGTGATCAAGGTTTCATTTTACCAGAAATAACTTTTCCAAAATCTGGTGTTTAGAACACCAATTATCTGTACTGTTCAAACACTTTTAGTGCCTTTTCACACGTTCCGGTTGTTGGGTATCTGGCGCCGGCTACCTGACGGCGAAGTGTATGGTCATGAACTGTAGCTTTCACACGCACCGGCATAATTTGTACACACGCGCCACCGTAGACCCGGCACCGGCTACCCGGCAACTGAAAGATGTGAAAAGACACTAACGCAGTAGTTTTTGCATCAAATCCCAATAGATCAAATCAAATCAAATTCATTTATTGTTTGTTACATGTTGACAATAGATGTTATATATATACATTATAATAATAGTAGCATAGTATAAGGTGTAGAATAGTATTTGGATTATTCTACTAGTCTCAAAATATTACAAAATGTATGTTGCATCAGTTAAATCGTTACAATAAAAATATGTCAAGTCATTACCTTACAATATAGAATATAACTTAATTGTTACTATAAAACCTAGTTTTACATTGTATTTTGCATTCAAATCTAAATCTACATCCTTCCAGGGTTCGCTTACCATACAGAAGTAAACAGCGCTAATGCTCTGATATCCAGAACATTTACTCAAAGCGATCTTTGTGAACTAGGATCTCTCAAGTCCATGGAGAAGACGGTGCTGTACCCATGTCTACAGAAACATAGCCCGTACAAGGAGTTTATGACTTGGAGGTATACTTGGGACATACTTTACTCTTCATAATATAGTAGTTTTTACAAGAGTTCGTCTGTCTATCACCAATAGCGTGATAATGTAGCGTAAAGTTCTGTTTACGTGACGACTGTTTTTATTTTAAGCGAGTTCAAATAGAAAAAATGAGATTAACAGTTTGATTCGTATGTATGTATGTTTGTGCGCGATTGTCTCGCGATCTGCTGAACTGCTTTGATACACCTGGGAGAAGTTAGTATATTAATTAACCGATTTCAAAAAAAGAGGGGCTTGAAATGGATGTTTTTATACGTAGTTTATAAAAGAATTACCTATTAGATTATTATTTTTATTCTTATTTGAAAAGCTATCACTTATTCTAGTTACACCACCTAGCTTCACGTACGAAACAGACTGATAAAATATTATTTATTTTGTATTTATTGACGTATCAAAAGTACCAAATTATAGTTTGATTGAAGTAAATGCTTTTTGACTTTTGACTTTGACTATAACTTACGTTAGACAGATAACTAATTAAACTAATTAATGACCTTCTTCAGTTCTTTCCTCAGATGCAACACTAATCATCTTAAAATCATTTTTTCACTCTAAAACTGTCTGTAGGGGTTGTAATCGCCTACACTTGGATGAAAGTTGACTGCTTCTCGTTGATATAGACACGAAGATCGTGTAGAAATGATAAAATAACACAAACTTCTGTGACGAGAGTATATTGATATAACATGTTAAAGTGCAGTGATATAAAATGCTTATGATACAGTTTAAATAGTCGTACAAAAGTCCTGACGCGCATCGCGACAGTAATCCTTACTAATATTATAAATCGGAAACTGAGTTTGTTTGTTTGTGCCGCTTTCACGCCGTAACTACTAAACCGATTACTTTGAATTTTTGCAGACGTAAAGTTAGATGTCTGGATTAAATAATAGGGTACTTTTAATCCCGGAAAAATTTGATATTCTCGAGGGAAAACGAAATTATTGGTATAGATGGCGCTGTGTGTATTGGTATATGTCACATAGGCTACTTTTTATTCTACTGTGACGCGAGCGAAGCCGCGGGTAAAAGCTAGTTATGTATATAAAACAAAATTAAACCTGTACAGTTGTCTGTACACTATCCTTACACTAATTTAACAGTTCCCATGTACTACCTCTTCTTCTTCTATTTTCAGCCTTATGCGTCTCTCAGAGCAAGGCATAGTCTCCTGCATTCAGATCAGGAAATCGTCGTTCGAAGTCAAGTGTGAAGGTAGTTCCCCTCGACCCCTTGCATTAGGAGGAGCAGCACCAGCTTTCATACTCCTTGCTGGAGGATATATATTGGCTACCATCATCATGCTTGTTGAAAGGTAGGGTTGATTGTACTCTCATGGTGATCCTGGATCAGTCCTATGTGAAAAACTCAATTTGTAATTTGAAGAAATGAGGAATAAATGGCCGAGTGCTGCAAGTGCGACTGCCAGGCAAGGGGTATCGAATTCAATTCCCGGGTCGGGCAAAGTATTACTGAGTTTTTTTTAATTGTCTGTAGTAGCACAGCGTCTGGAATTGTGTCCGGTAGATGGCAATAGGCTCACCCCCTATTACATGGAACTCGTAATATAAATAGTGAAAACTGGGTGTTACATTGTATATAGGCATTAAGTGCTGTAATGTGCACATCTGCCTATCCCTTCGGAGATAAGAGGCATAATGTTATGTTATGTTAGCAGACAAATCACCTAATAATAAGCGATCGACGTCACCCATGGATAATTACAAAGCGAATATATATATTTAAATACTTACTATTTTTTATTTCAGAATAATTTTCAAAATGAAGCATGATATAAAAATTCCAAAATGAACTATTGCATCTTAATCAAGAGTGGGAGGAAAAACACCCGTTGCACTAGCAAATGATATTATTAGTCACACTTAAATCTATACTTTTTGCAGTTAAATTCAGCACTATCACACAATCTTGTAAAAAAATATTTCATCAATTTTCTTGTTTAAAAACAAATAAATGCTATCTTGGTATTTTCAAAATGTTTAATTAAAACTGAGACCTCTCAATACGGTAGTTGACAACTAGTCAAATTCAATACTTTTATCGAATTGTCAAAAACGACATACTTAACACTTTCCTATGAATTTTGTACTAAGATCGATCGATTTATTTAATTAAAATTAACTAGAAAAATTTAAAAAAGAAAATTATGATAATCAAATCAGTGAATGAAAGTACGATTTTTTTTAATGTTTTGTTTTTGTTTTGGAAAGTCAAAATAATATATTTTTGACCTAGGAAACTACCCGATTGCGATGATGACAGGGTATGAAAATAAGAATCTAATAAGTCCGCAAGTTAGGTAATGAAAAAATATTAGACACGTTTTTTGTCGTATAATAAAACATTACTTAGATAAAACGAATCAAAGTTTAGGAGTGGGGGCTAAAACGTCATTTCTACGTATAAAATGTACACAGAAGTGACGTCACGCGACATTTCAAATCAATATATCGTCGAAAGTATTCGTTTCTGTAAGAAAATAAAAAATACATGTCTAATGATTTAAAATAATCTATACAAATCTATATCTAGAGGTATATAAAATAAAAATTAGGCATCTACCCTGTTGTGAATGTTGCCCCTAACATAAAGAAAACAACTGAAAAACACACAACTTCACTCCAAAACACTACTCCAAAATACAAAACCAATTCAATTCCATTCGAAAACAACACAACACTTCAACATACGCTTGTTATCAATAACAAAAAACCACATTTTTGGCAGTGGACCATACATTTTTATATAAAAAATCGGAAATACAAGTTTTTGGGCATCGAAGCGACGATTTTCAATCAACAGTCTGGCAGAACGCCACGGATTATAGACTCTATCTATTAAAATAAATCCATTTGTACACCTAACGTATTGACGTATCTATCCTTTGTTAGTGAAAATTGGAGCATTCCTGTTTCAGCGAATAATGTCATTGAGTTTGCAGAAAATATTACAATGAAAGCCTGAATGTTATTATATAAGGCTTTTTCCAGTAAAACAACTATTATTTAGCTGGCATTGTACACAATATGGAGTGTTTTCCAGTTATATCGTTGCCTTGTCCCGTTGTTGTTAAAGTATTACTGGCAATTAGCAACATAAAGTCCATTTCCAGACTTTTATGTCGTTTTAAAATTTATTAATTTCTTACCAACTTGGTATAGGTTCAATTGGATCAAACCTTTTTT